GATAAAGAACAAAGTTCAGATAGCACCTGTCACTATGTGAACTTGCCTGAAGGGTCAAGACCAAGCTGTTATCTTTACATGAATCTTCCTAATTTGAAGACAGCACCCAAAGAGGCAGCTGTTTATGTTAATCATGTGTTTATGAGTCACAGTATGCAAGGGATTTATGAAAATGTCCAACAGTTTTACAATGAGAAGTTAGAAGAGTGTGGAGCTCCACCTGTTCCTCCACCAGTGCTTAAACCTCGCCAGCCTCCTCCGAGATTACCAAAAAGGGCATGTGGAGGTGGGCAAAGAGTACAGCCAACGCCCCCCAGGAGTCCGCCACATATGGGGGCTCCTCATTCACCACCTCCACCCCGTCCACCCAAAAAACATGGGGGCGTTTCAAAGATGCTGGTATGTTTATGTATATTTATTCATCCATTTTGTTAAATATTTTGCCACTGTGGGCATAAGGTTCTCTGTTTCTCCATGAGGTGAGAGAATCTAGCTGTGGAAATTGGAAGGTGTGAAGAAGGAGTTAACATTTTTCTCACCTTACTGAGGAAAAATGCTTCTCATCTTTCTTAATTTTACTGGCAAGATGGGTTAAGTTAGATGGGGCAAGTTAGCATCTGTCCTCCTCCTTTATGTGGTAGATATTTTGTTTCAGTGATGTAAAAAAACATTTTTGTTGGATTTAGGAAAGAGGCATTCAGCGGCAACAAGACATCCAAGTTACAATTGCAGTTTTTGCATCAAAAGCAGTAGCTGGTAGGGAGTGGTTTCTGCGCATTGTTGTGATGCAACATGACCCTGATGATTCCACATTCAAGGTAAGTTATGATACCTGCTATAAATGATGTGTCAAAGTTCCACCTGGCTTTTCTCAATTCTGAGTTTTAGGTTTCCTTGCAATTTTTGCTAATACCAGAGGGGATCATCTTTAAGATGTTGATTTTTCTTACGCAACCTTCCATAGCACCATTTTCTAGACCTAGAAATACATCAGAAGTCATGAAAAATGACTAAATGTTATATGTTTGAAATTCTAAAGAAAAAATATCCTAGTTACCACATCATTCTGATTTTTCATAATCAACTCCCCAATTTTTGGTCTTGGGAAACATTCAAAAGGTCCAAAGACACTGTGGTTGCTAAACATTCTAAATTCATGTCCAAAGATCTTTCCTCTCTAATGGCAATGCTTATTTAACATACATTTTCAATCTGCTTGTTCCTTAAAGATGGTGATGGATCGTGAACTTGCAAGTAACTACCGCCTCATGCAGACCCACCCATTCAGTATCTCCTCAGACATAGTCATATCACTGAAACACCAGTGCAAACAATTTAAACTTACTAGTGAAAATGCTCAAGTAAGTTTTATGATTATTACTAATGATTTACCGCATATTTCCTGTTGCTGATTTTCATTCAGTTAAACCTAGTTTTAGCTGAGCATGTTTTGCTGGTGTGAAAATAAAATAACTATTAGTACTAGTCATCAAGTATTGGTTATGGAAAACTGAAAAAAAATTTTTTGGCAGAGTTACATGTGACCTGCATTTCATTTAGGAAATAGTCCTAAAAGTTAGAACAGAATAATATTTTTATTATTTACAATATTTATTTACATTTACTCTAAATTCCTACTTACAGGAGGTTGGCTATAATATCATTAAGGACCTTTTGCATGGTTTTTGGTTTGTGATCGAGTTTCACCTCGAACACTTGAGCAGTGATGGGGAACACTTTGTGGGAAATGTCTGCGTAGAACCCAAAGATCTTCTTCCTGGTGAGAAGTGTCCTGTAAACAAAAGGGTTAATCTTGGAATTAATGAAGACTTTGAATTGAAGGTTCATCTGGTAAGTTATGATTGCATTTGTTCATTGGCACTTGCTCTTGAAATGTTTGGAAACCCACTGTTCTAGCTAAGTTTTGCTTGTTATATTTATGTAAGCCTGCAGAGTACCTACATCTACTAGTCACTTCTAAAAAAAATTGTGGTTTTGTGCTCCATTGTAAAGTAATTGTTACCCTTAAGTTTTAGCCTTTTAACTCCTTACACCTTACCATTAGATTCTCTCTATGCTGATTCTTACATTTCCTGTGGAAATGACAAGGAGAATTTGTTTGACAATCAGGAGCCTCTTTAATTGGTGGTCTTTTCCATTATTCTAATGTGACCTTTACATTTGATTCAAGGGTAATTCTGCAAGGCAAAATTAGAAGCCATTCACTCCTAGGGGTGAAAAGCTTAAGCTTGCTAATTCTTAAGTTTCATAGGGGCAAGTTACATTTTTACCCCACGGTAAAGCATTATTGTGACAGTTCCACAGCAGGTTGTTTGCTGAAAAGAGTAACAGATCATTTGTGCACAGAAACTGAAACCTTTTGAAGGCAAACAAGTTTTACAAAAAATGATCAAATATTTACCAAACATTTTGATTTTGAATTTCAGCAACGCGTTAATTGTAAACAACATGGAATTCTTCGGGGACAGGAAAACCAGACAAGCAAACATGTGATTTCTGATTATGCAAAACGGAAAAAAATGTGTGGATTGCTTGATATTTCCTCATACAAACAAAACTGGAGAGATGTTGCTGGAAAGTTGAGGTTTAGCTGGGAGGAAATAAAGGGCATCGAGGACAAAGCACATAGATGCCCCACCTTTTCACCAATGGAAGATGTTCTTACGACATGGGAACAGAGGGATCCTGAAAGCAGCTTGGAAAGACTTATCAGGGTATTAAGAGACATTGAACGATTTGATGTCATAAGTGATCTCGGTTTTCCAGTAGGCTCTGAAATTTTATGATCCATGCCACGCTGTTGCTGATTTATGAAGAACGATGATGAGTGTTATGGGCTGGTGTACCTGAAATTTGAAACCAAGTTCACCCTTCGGTAATTAAAAGCAAAGTGAGGTCCAAGACAATTATATACTTTGTTTGTTTTTAAGTGAGAAGGAAATCACTGTTTCAATTTAATTTTATGACAGTGAAATTAACTGACTACTAAATTGAAATTGGTCTACTGCAGCCCAGTCCCAAATAGTTCTCAAGTGTAAGGAAAGGTAGAAAAACGTAACTGAAATGACATTCTCATGCTTACATCACTGGTAAGTGCTGGGCTTAAGGACTGCTTTATTTATAGGGTATCATTAGTTTTAGTCGTATTTCTGGTGTGAAATTGAAATTAATTTTTCTAAAATGTCTCTTCATTTTTTTGATCAGTTTATGCTCCTTGATGAGTTTCCCATTTTGAATGGATTACAAAATTTTCATCTTGAAAAGTAATTTTACTTAAATTGTACTGTATCATTCAATTTTTTGGTAAAAAAAAAAAAAAAAGACAAAAAAAGGCCAGAATTCTTGGTTCTTAAAAATCAGTGCCAATATAAAACTCTTATCTCAGGGTCAGAGAAAATGGTTGAAAAACAGTCTGTTTACTGCGAACAAGTTTTAGCTCTTGGAGATGGAGGGGGCTGGGGTGGGGAGTTTTGAGACGACAGGTTTTACAGATACTTGGGTGTAGCTTTGGTATCTACCCTAATTTGGTTTTTTGGATCAGGAACTAACATGTCAAAAGGTAGAATAAACCTGCTAGGGTTTGTAATGGTCACAAAAATGCTTGTATTTGTTTACAGTTTTTATACATTTCTGTCTTTTTTTCCTAATTTTTTAAACAAATCTTCTTTGTACAAGGCATTTTCATAACTTTAATGGCAACTTGCTCTACCATTGCAGTAGGTTCCTTTAACATACAGTTTCAGTGTAATACTTTTTTGGTGTATATTTTGATGAGGTGATTGACAAAGGTAACCAACATGTAGGTTACAACATGTCCATGGCACCAAAACTAAATGTTTGTTTCTTCCTATGGGAGTTGTTATAAAGTAAAAGTTTCACTTTAAGTTTACTGAAATAAATGCATTTTTACAAAAATGTGCCTCCCCTAATAAATCTACCAAGTAAGTTCCCTAAAAACCTGCCTTCGGTTTTATACAAAACCAACAAAATCACCAAAGATACTACGCAAGACAACCTGTGTTGTTTTATGAATAAAAATTAAATTTATTCGTATGTCTGATGGTTATAAGTGATATTAACACTGAAGCTTTAAGTGCTCAAGTTTAGGGAAAGATTTTGCATGGGTTTTGAATTTATGACTTTCTCTATCCACTGCAGTAATAAATTTCTAGCAGGAACAGTTACACTGAAACAACCTTTTACCTTTAAACCCTTTTACATGTAATATTGACTAAGATCTAACTTCTCCTTTCACTGCTACTGCTGAATCACACCTTGAGGTCATGAGAATAAAGGAAATGATCATCAGCTTAAGTAAGACGCTCATGATTTTAAAACAAATTGTCCTTGTCAGTACCATAGGAAATGTATAGTCCTAGAGAATAGTTAGGAGAATATATATACAGATCATAGGGTAAGAGAGGTGAAGTAATTATTTCAGAAAGGAATTGTGACTATTTCCTTCTGGAATGAGAAAACCCATTTTTGAACATTTTTCCACAATCACAAGAAATTTTATTAACTATTAAATAAAGATTCTTTACATCTTAGCATAGTGTAACTACTTCAAGGCTTCGACTCTGACTAGCATGTGATTAAGCGCACTGTGACTCAGTAAGACACAGAGAATAATTAGATGTTCATTTTCAACCCCAAAAAAATATTCTTTGCTAAATTATCTTTCTTT